AGAATACGTACTGTATCTGTAACATTCTTACGTTTTAAAAATTCATTCAATTTATATTTCATTTTCTATTCAAACTCTCAAGGTAGATTCTCAATTTGAGCAATATGACATGTAAAACGGAAAAACGACTGGCATGAGGCAGACAGTAAAATTACTCTTTCCAAGTGACTGAAATCTGGGCCAGGATGTCCCTGTCTTAAATTTCTCCTCCACCACTTTTCAATAGGGTTTGCATTAGGGCCTAACCCTAGAGTTTCAATAAGGCCATCAGTATCAGCCCTTTTATCTGTAGTAAGGGAATATTACTACTAGCCATTTTAAGATTTGGAAACTGTCTAAATTGCTATTTTAATAGCTTTTTTACAAACGAAATTACAGAGTGCTACTGCTGAAATAATACTTTTTTGATTACCTTATTTGTCAATACCAATAGTAAATAATGATTTATATAGGAACTCATAGCATTGAAATTACTACTTACAGTACACACTCTGTTCTTACAGCAGCCTTGTAAGCTATGTAAGCACTTTGTGGCATAGGACCAGGTTATTTGTGAGATTGCTTCTCCCCAAGGACATCTGCTTGTCTTCATGCTTTAAGATGGTGGGCACATTTTGGGGCCCTTCCTTGAAACCTGCTGGGACCTAGAAGGGATGCCTTTTCTATAGAGGCACCTGTCCTTTGGAATGATTGCCTCCACCCCCCAGTTGACCCAGATATTTTTATCTTGGTTTGTTTTCTGTTGTAAGCAGCCCAGAGTCACATTGTTTGAGTTAGGCAGCCATATAAATTATTTAAATATTATCTTCAATTTGGCTGAGAAAGAAAAGCTTATCTAAAATCAATTAGTGCAGCAGAAGGCAAGATTTGGTTTAGTAACTCCTGACTTTTTCAACTGATGATTTACATGCAGTTTTCTTGGCAGCATTATTGAAAGAGGTTGCCATTACCTTATTTGTTTGTCAAGTTTAAAAGGCTGTCCAATTCCCTCATTCTGTTTGTTTGTTTGTTTTTTAAGTTTCCAGTCTAATCTAAAGGCTTGGCTTCCTGGTCATCTTCCATGCAAGTACTAACCAGGTCGGACTCTTTTTCAAACCAGGAAAGGTGCTGCCAGTGTTCTAGGCACATTGTCTATTTAAATGTGTGTGTGTGTGCCTTCACGTCAGTCTTGACACTTGGCAACTGTCTGAAAAAGTCCCTGTAGTTTTCTTGGCAACGTTTTTGGAAGTGGTTTGCCCTTGCCTCCTCCTTCCTAGGCCTGAGGGAAGAGGGACTGACCCAAAGTCATCCAGCAGCTTTGTGCCCAATACGGGATTAGAACTCAAGTCTCCTAGTTTCTAGTTTAGGGCCTTTAACCACTACACCAAACTGGCCGTCTCCATTTAAATGAGGTCAACTCAAAACATCCTGAGCCTACACATTTTCTACTTCCTCTAATTTAGATTTCTGTATTTAACAACTTATCTACTCAGCAGTCTGAAATACTGGAAGTAGATAATACTCTGCAGTACTACAGGAAACAAAACAAAATGGAAATAAGACTACCCAGCCTAAGTGTTTTCTGAAATAAAAATGATGAAATATTTGAGACTAACATGCTACAGCACAGGCTTTTGTGGATTTAAAGTTCCGTTCGGCAGACGGATCTAATGAAATGAACTGCAACTAATTCTAGAATGTATTTGTTAGTTGCCCCACTGTCAATCTTAATACATGGGCCCTAATTACCTCTAAATTGATGGTTGCAATGTTTAGTTTCTGTACATACTTTGAAAAACCACAACTGGCCCATAATGCAGGCTGAGATGCCCCTATTATGTCAGCCTCATACAGTATGCTAGTCTCTTTCAGTACTCAAGTGTCCTTAAAGTCTTAAATGGCCCTGAACACAGTTTAGCTGAAGAACTGCTTTCCCTCATATGACTTTTTTTTCTGAGTGAACATCTGCTGGAGGACAGGCACCTTTCTTGGCAGAATTACCAGAGTGATCACCCGCTCGATCCAGAAGTGGAAGACGGATAAATCCTAAGCACACACCGGTAGATAGGATGGCTTCCATTGGATGTTCCAGCACCAGGCCCCATTGCCCTCCCGTGGGTCCTGCTGGCCGCACAGACTGAGCCAGCAACTAGCCAGCCACATTTCAGTCTGGCTTGTTCGAAGCCCAGGGAGGCATTCCCGGCTCACCCCGATGAGGCGACCCCAACTCACTGGGCGAACTCTGGCTCGGCTCCTCCTGGTAAGGGCGCCCAGGAACGTGCCTGCGTGCCCAAAGGAGGGGCCGCCGGCACCAGCTCGCGGGGGCTGAGCTTCCTCGGTGTCCCATGGCAACGCCTCGGGCTCTGGCAGGGAAGGCACGAAGCCCGCGCCTCCGGAGGCTCCTCCCGGACCTGGGGTCGGAGCCCAGGCCCCATCGTCCCCAATCCAAGCGGCACACCTGAAGGGCCCAGGCCTGTCCTGGAGGGGGGAGGCAGCGCGCGCGGCTCGGAACCAGAACCCCCCGGGCGGCCCTCACCTGCCCACCGTCTGGTTGGCCAGCTGCTTCATGCGGTTGAACTGCTTCTTCATGATGGCGGTGCCGTCGCTTCCCCGCTGCTGCCG